AGCATTCTCGAGAAATGCTATGTAAAGTTAGTAATCAGTAATCTAAAAGATATGCTGGTAGCTTATTTCTCTAGATAATTAATAGAATATATATTCAGCTATTTCAGGCATTAGGCCAGGGATGGCTTTAATAAGGTCCCTAAAAGTCTATCAGTAAAATTCTAATAAGCTACTTGTAATAAACCTACTATATATTTTTATATATCTTATTATCTGTTAATAAAAAGATTGCTTTATTAGGTTAAAAGAACTAGTTATTCTTATATATATCCTGCCTACTTCATCGCAAGTCTTGTTATAATGGATATCAAAACATGTAAGGCTGGCAAAGTTTTGATCTAAGCAAGCCAGCCTCCTTTTTTATAAGTATCTAGTCATTTCTGATGTATATGCTAGACAAGAATTAATATATAACTAATTTTATATATTAAAATAGCTAAGATTTTCTGTCTTTTATGATTAAACCTGGTTAACTTGCCAACAGCCTGACTATAAATCTTTTGTCAAACCCTAGGATCGCTTCTCCCTGTTCCTGTTAGCTTAGCTCCCGTTCCAATACGTACCTTGTGAACTGAATCAAAGGTAGTCAGGTTGTTGACTATCTAAAGGTGACTTGATCTGAACAAGAGAAGAGAAGTAAGGCCAGATAGTGCCGCGCAGCTATCCGTAAGTAAGTGCGGACGAGTGTTGTCGCTAAGCTCTACCAAAACGTAGGTTACTTAAAGACAATGTGAATTGAGCACGAAGAACAGAACTAGCTAAGTACATGAAAGAGTGTCCTTATATATCCGTTCCCTGTATACCATTTCATATACCGTCTCGTATACCAATGGCATATACCATATACCCGACCATATACCCTCTCGTATACCTGCAGTCACGTGACTTGTGACATATAGCGGCTCAGTCCGGGTCCTGCCTGATAAGAGTTGCATCTCTCCGAGTGCCGCTCTTCTGCCTGACGTAACCGCCTCACTAGTCCCTTTAGCTAGCAGGGGTCCGTAACATCTTTATTCTGTTAATAGTATAGTGGCCTCATATAGATTTACACAGAAATTCTTCTACTCTTATTTATTTATAAGCTTAATCTTATTAAGCTAGCCAGATATATATTAGAGTAATATTCTTTTTTACAAGTAGAACTTATATATATTATATCTTTTTAAGTAGTCCCCGGACACTTATTACTGAGAGCTAGAATATATAAAATAATATAAGATTTAGGTTTTAGATAGCTACAGCTATATTTAACATAATTATAAAAACATATTCTAGAAAATAGAGTATATCTATTAAATCCAAGCTCTCTTATATTATTCAGTGGTTTGAAAAAAGGAACAAGTTATTCACTTTGAGGTTTAAAATAATGATAAATCAAGAAATCTAAAGTAAAGAAAGATAAGATAATTAAAAATTAAAGATAGAAAATCACAGAACAAATAAAAGTAATGTAAGAAAACAATTAATAGATATAAAAGTATATATTAAATGATCAGGCTATATAAATTTATAGCTTACCAGATCTTAAAGAAAGCCTAGTTAAATTAAATCTCTTTTCTTAATATAGTATAAACTGATGATAATTACAGATATAAATAATAAAGCTCTTCTTATTTATTATCATCTAATTATCTAGCATTACAGCTATCTAATTTATCTATTAAGTTAATAATAACAGAGATAGTGCTCCTGGCTTTTTTATCTTTATAATATTGTATATACCTCAGCCGGGCATATTGGTTTAAATAGTCTGAGTAGTGATTAATAGTTTAAATAATTTATAAGCTATATTATCCTTATAAAAAAATATCTAAAAAATAAAAATAAAAACTGAAAGACAAAATACTTATTATATAATATAATTACATGTATATATTAAGCAGTAATATAAATAAATAATAATCTACTTTATATAGATATCTAGCAGTTACTTAAAGTCATTTCTTATTAGCTGGGCGTAGTTCTATTTACTTATCTAGATCTTGTTCTTATCCTGATTCAAGTAACTTTACAGGCTGGTTAGTCTTGTACAGTAGAATAAGCCATAATCCAGTTAAGAACTTATCTTAATAAAACAAGAAGCATGCAGAGTGTTCTAGGCTAGTATTAGGCTAATACTGAAGAAGAATATTCTTACTAGACTGCTAATATAGGATAAAATTAGGCCTTATAATGTATATTCCTTACTGCAGCAGGCTCTAATAATCTCTATTTATTTAAAATCTCTGTTATAGCAAGACACTATGAAGAAGTATGATGGAAAGATCCTGTTTCTTTAGCTAAGTATTATATTACTTATTATGGCTGGACTTTACTGATTAAATAATTATATATCTTTGGTCGAGTATTATAGCTTTAAGGCTAAATTAAGATTATTTTCTTATTATTTTTAAGTACTTAATATCTTTTATAACTGTATACACTACACACACTTTTATAGATTATTTTAGTCTATTTTCCTATATATACTGTAAAATATTCTTATATATATATAAGGGTTTTCTTCTATATAATTATTTCTGAGCTATCTCGAACACTTCAATATATTATAAACTATAATATCTGGCTTATAATATATTATTCTTATACTATAAGCTTTTAGATATTATCTTATATATAAAAATCTTTTTCTTACTATAATTTAACTGATACTAGACTTCTTTCTTCCAGTTATAAGTACTCTATAAAGTATAGAGCAAACTTTAATCAATATATAGATAAAGAGAGACTATGGCTGATTCAAGGTCTGAGAAGTATCTTTTCTTAAAAAACAGATATAGAAAAGATAAAATAAGAAAGAGTCTTAATAATATTAATACAAGTAATATAATTATAAAAATAATAATATTCATGATTTATTTAATATACATATTTCTAGACAAGAAACTTAAGATTATTTATATTATTTATTACTTATGATTATTTTCATGTATTAGATATATAGAATGTACCAGAACTAAAAGTAAAGTATAATTTTAACTTAAGCTTTCTATATTATTTATATCACTGTTTAAGATAGATTAAAATCTTCCAGCCCCTGTTACACGCCAATTACTAAGTCTTAAATTTCTTCTTTCTCTTTATTTTTCACAAGTCAGTTTTCTTTTATAATACTGTACCGTTACTTAAGGTGGTCCCAGTCTGTTTCTAATATATGTTTTTTAATATTCTAAAGTTTTAATTTAAGAAGTTCTTAATCTTTTTCAGAAAGATCTGAGTTATAAACACTTTTCAGGTATAACATGAAATAAGGTTTATCAAGATCATCCTGAAAATAAGCTTTAAATATTATTTAGTATTGTCTATTCTGAATTAAGATATGGGAGAATCTACTAAAAAAGGATATTTTAAATCTTTTCTCGGCTTCAATAACATCAATTGGCTGTTTTATTAGCCGGCCTGGTTTAGATATTGATGAGACATTTTCATATTTTATAATAATATCTTTTATTATATTAAGTACTGTTAATCTTGTATTGTCTAAGATGAAAATTAGAGCTTTTCAGGATCTAACAAGGCTCGTGATACAGAACATGTTAGATTAATAAAGAATTACTTTAGATGAAGATAATAAAAAGATGGATTGGTCTATACTAAATTACAGTGAGAACATAAAGTGAGGCTGGTATCTTTATAGTTTAAGCCATTCTTTATAGCTCTACTATAATGTATTCATCCTAGATAATCTCGAGATTGCTTCTTATCATGGTTAGAGCTAGTATTATTATATTATACTTAATTATAATTTATTTTATTATATTGTATTTCACTACATTGCATCTTTACATGATAGTTAATAATTACTAAACCTTATTATAAGCTGGTCTACACGGATCTCGGCTATAAAAGTTATTATATTATATTACACTGCATCATGTATCTTTATTGACTGATAGTTACTAATTTCCTAGCGGGGCCCACTCTCCAGGTAGACGACATAACCTATGCTCATAGCTCTCGCACTTAACTGATCTTTAATGGAATTTTGCTTACCGTGTCCATCTACAGTGAAGGAGCCTCTCTCTATAGTGAATGCATCCAGGCAATAGAAAAGACTCTATGGGAGTTGAACGACATGGACGTTTTCATTTTCAGCCTATTTGGTAAGGCAGAAAGGCGTGTCTGGCCGGGTTCATCCGACCGCCGTCCGATAAGGAGTCACGTGGATATTATCTTATCGCCGCGCCTTTCCAGCACTCCCAATTGGGATAATCACGGGTTGCTGTTGACGGCGATGCGAAGATTCCACTACTATCTAGTTATGTTAGCATGGTAATATTGAGATATACCTCAGAAAACAGTGGTCACCTATTATTTCTGGACAGGGCATGATTCACTCAAAATCTCAACTACAATAGCGGTCTTCATCCTAATACATCAGTTACTGCCAGCTAGTTGAGTGACTCAAAATATATAGTTTGCCTCTAGTAACGTAGTCAAGTACTTGCCACTATTCCTACGACAGTACTTACTACTACTGAGTTTCTAAACTACTCGGAGTTACTGTGAGAAAACTGGTCGCTGGCGAGCCAAAATCTCAGCTTCCACTCGACTACATCGAAGAAATTCCCGTTGAGCTGGGACTCGGAGGTGGACTGCATATCCAGAACACAGGAAACCCTTTCAATCATAGAATAAGCTGACCGGGATGCGTATTGGTATGGTGGTGATTATTCTATTACCACCTCCGTAATAGTAAATGCCATATATGTGCTTATCCGTGAAGGAGACAAAAATGGGCCTCGCTCATGTGTGGGAAAAACCGCTGTCTTACGTGGGTTTATTAAAGTCCGAAACAAGCCATTACCTGGGACATGTGAGATTACTCTTACATGAAAAGACTAAGGATATTGGGCTGTGTTATGCTCCAGCTAACTTAATGCACGGTATAAATAGACGCGGTCTCACCTTAAGGTGCCCGCCCAAGACCATATCTACCAAGATACACATTACGCACAACCAGAACCTTTCCCGTTACCTCTTGGAATACAACCTCCAAAATGACTTCACCACCCACATCTAGCTACGTGATGACCAAGCCAGATGAGAACGTTAGTAGTACCTGCCATATCCACCATTTTTGGCTCCCCAGCCAATCAATATAATAGCCTGACACACCACCCATAAACAGGATGAGAAAGACCGTCTCGACCTCCAGCACGAAATCTGGCTTCTCGCTCTCCAAAACCGACTTCACACGACCGCATTCACTCACCCACCAAAGACAATCCTAGACATAGGCTGCGGCACCGCAACATGGGCCCTATCAATGGCAGAAGTGCATCCTGAAGCCACCATCACCGCAACCGATTTGCACCGGCCTCCAAAGCTCACTGCCACGACCCTCTCATCGTCCCCCAACCTCCGATTCTCCCAATTCGACGCGGACGACCTCATCTGGCCCTTTCCAGAGCATACCACGTTCGACTTTATTCACGGCCGCATGATCACCTCCGGAATCCACAACTGGCCTCGCTTCCTTACTCACTGCTCCTCTCTACTTACCCCAGGCACTGGCCGTCTTGAGCTTCTAGACGTCTCTCATCCTTTCCGCGCGGAGAACGCAGCAGCGGATGGAGAGGCGCTGTCCCCGTTTATCCGGTTTGGATATGCCATGGAAAGGGTTTGGGCTGCCAACGGCATCGACTATCGGGCTACAGAAAAACATGCACTTCGGTTGAAGGAACTGGGGTTTCAGGATATTGTCATGGAGGAGGTGAGGTGGCCGCTTGGTCCGTGGGTCCATACCTCGGAGCGGGAGATGGAGTTGGGACGGCTGAATCTGGAGAATTTTGGGCGGTTTATTCGGACTGCCGGGGTGAATCTCCTAATGAGTGGGGATGATAATGGGGAAGAAAGAGAGAAGAGGATGGCTGAGGCTCAGAGGTTGGTAGATGACGCTGTTAGGGATTTGGAGGATGATTGGGACACGAATAGGTATTATTTGTCGATGTAAGTTGGCGGAATTATTTCTGTTATTTGGCTTGCCTAGTTTGGCTTTCTTGTCAGTGATTCTGATGGCTGATTTCTTTTCGTAATAGGAAAATCCACCGCGCACGGAAGTGAACTCAGTGATGAGAGCAACGGCTGGATGGCAATTTGGAAAGCTAGGAGGTTGAAAGATGTCCCATGTGCCATAGTATTGCGGTAACCAATATGAAATCGAGATACGGATATGGAAATGAATTTACACAAATGATCGTGCGGAGCCAGGATGAGACTTGACTCCATCTAACTCGTAGGAATGGCCTCTTCGTACCGAAGGGCCTTCAGATTGTACAAGAGAATCGTGCATTGCAGATTCCTTTTGGCTCGTGCCCGTGCTCCTTTGCATGCTCTTCACGCTCCTTTCGAAGAAACTCCATAGCACTCCAAGTTTCGGCCCGATCGCGGACGACAGGAATGGAAGACAGGCGGAGATAATCCCCATGCTGGGCTCAATATACGTCCATATTGAAGCCATGAAAACTGATTCTGTAGGCCATCTAATGAGGAAAACGGAGCCATCGCATGGTGGATACTTGGGACTTACTTGATAGGTCATTCACATCAATCGTGGCAGTCGAGACAGCGCGGACGAGGCTGGCAACGCAGGCGCTAGTACACAAATAGAACATATTATTGAATGGAGCTATAAGCGCGCAGGGTAGGGAGAGTTACTCACACTGAGCCGAGAGCAAATGAGCCCAAAAGTACGACTTTCTGCGATCCAGACATCTGCAGTCTCAAGACTGGCAGCACAGGCAGAAACAGGATCATCCAGTCAATCAAATTATTCGAGATTGAGTTACCCCACAGAAACGGCAGCAAATCGATACAGTGCCCGGGCTTTGTGGGTAACCATGCTTTGTCCACAGGTACGCATTGAAACAAGACAGAAAAAAAAACTCCGATGAACCATGCAGTAGTGAGAAAGGCGATGCTGCATAGGGCGAAACGGAACCAGCGCACCCTCCCAAAGATCCGCTTCAGCGAAAGGAGGATTGAACACTTGATTGTGAAAATCAGAATGGTGTATCCAAGCTCTGGCCAGAAGAACATCTGTCACGGGATAGATTAGAAGTGCATTCTGCTTTTATATCGTAAAGTGTCTCGCAGACCTTGAGGAGCCACAGCATCTCATCCTCGGAAAGGCTAGCCATGGGCTTGCCCTCACCCCCTTTGACTGCGACTGTACGGAGAGGTCTTACGTGAGTGGACATGTATTAAACAGCTATCAAGCTCTTCCAGTTGTAGACGTACGTAGAAAAGCGCCCGCATCCTCGATATAGAGCATAAAGAGTGCAAAGGCTAATAGCCAGTCATCGATTGCTAACGCGTGCTTCTTCCTTCGCTGGATTAGACGCCAGCTGAGGAAGAAGGTGGCAAGTACAGTAAGAATGGGAAGGATAATGACAGCCTTGAGACCGTCCGCAGCAAGCATGGCGATCAGTAGAGTTTTGGTTGACCTGCTGATGAACCAGGAGCCTAGATGTAGCAGACTTATGTGGTCAAAGTTGTGTTTTAAAGGGTAATTGCTGACAGGAGGCTATATTACTCTCACATGCATATCCCTTCGGGGGCCTCGCATGCCTTGGTCAGCCGCAGGGCGTAATGTCTGGCAGCGACCGGGATTATGTGTATCCTCCTGTCAGCCTTGGACGAAACTAGAAGAGAAACCTACGCTTACCGCACTGAAGTGGACGTATGCTGTAGTATTCGAGCCACTTATGTGTAGGCCATTCCCCCGGTTTTGGTCGCAGATTGCTATTGATCATCGAAATTCAAAGACTGTACATGGACACAAAATGAATCAAACATATTGCATACTCAGCGCACTTTTCCTTTACGCACTGTATACAATATGCCTCGCTATCTACCGTCTTTACTTGCATCCTCTTGCCAAGTTCCCGGGTCCTAAGAAGGCCGCTCTTACAAAATGGTATGAGGCATACTACGACCTGATCAAATCACCTGGTGGGCAATACATGCATGAGATCAACCGAATGCACGATGTCTACGGTAGGGATATATGTACCCTATGTAACAGACTATCCCCCTTGCTTCTAACCATGTGAATAGGACCAATCGTCCGCATCAACCCCGATGAGATTCATATCCGGGACTCCATGTATGTTAACACTCTATACTGCAATTCAGTGGGAGTAAGTCACACAAGCATTCGATATACATTAGACCGCTATGGCATATGGCATCTAACAGCGAAGGGTAAACGAAACAAATATCCTCCCGCGGCGCATATGACGGGGACGCCTGAAGGGAGTACGTTGACCTCTTTCCCCCAGACAACTCAGCCTGAGACGTAATTTCCCAACTTAATAACAACCTCCAGTCTTCGGAACCGTCAATCACGAGATTCACCGCAAAAGACGGTCTGCTATAAGCCCGCTCTTTTCCAAGTCCACAGTCACGGCCGTGGAGTACAGGATCCAGCAAAAGGTTCGAATCTTGTGTGATACACTGCGTTCGCAGATTGTCCATCATGGGTGGGCCGAGCTACGCCTCAATTTTCTCGCATACGCCACGGATACAGTGTGCGAGCACAGTTTCACCAACTTGCATCTAGACCTGCTCACCTCCGACCGGCGCGCACGGCAGTGGAGGGATTCCATCCACGCCATTGCCATTCTTACACCCTGGATCAAACAATTTCCATGGGTCCTCCCAGTAGCTCTCAATTTACCACTATCACCATTGTATGCCCTTGTACCTGTGGTAGCCCGGGTGGTGGAGTTACGACGGGTATGTTCACATTCCCGCTTACGGTGCCGATGGAGAGCTGACGCCCCCTGTTTTCCTTGGAAATAGGCGATGGATAAGCATGCCTCTGAGGCCGTGAGAGACTTCTTCGAATCAGCTCAAGAGCCCCAAGAGAGCAAGGCGCAGGGTCTCTTCAACAGCATTCTTAGCAGCACAGCCATTGCACCAAGCGACAAACACCCCTTGCGAATTGCGCAGGATGGGTTTGTCATTATTGTCGCTGCGGGAGAAACAACGGCTCGCATGCTCACCACAGCCGCCTTTCATATCCTAGAAAACAAAAGCACGATTCTTCCAAGACTAAGGCAGGAGCTTGAATCAGCGATGCCGGTTCCCGGCGCGGCAGCGGAGTTGGCGAAGCTGGAAAAGCTACCTTGGCTGGTGAGTGGATACCTATCGTTTCAACGCAATGTGGGTAAAGCGAGGCGCGAGGCGTGAGGCTAATTAGAACAACATAGTCTTCTATAATCAAGGAATCACTCCGTCTCACCGGACTGGTGACTTCACGGCTGCCCCTAGTGTCACCCGATCAGCCGATGACCTACCGAGACTGGTTGATCCCTGCCAGGGTATGTGATCAAATTGGATGCCTTGATGCAATGATTTGATTATCTGTTGCAATGAAATATGAAGGATAAGCATTGTCTGACTTTAGCTATAGACACCCGTAAGCATGACTCTGCGCGATGTTTTGCTCGACCCAAAGATCTTCGATGATCCGTATGAGTTCCGCCCCCAGCGGTGGCTGGACCTAACATCAGATATGGAACATGCGTATGTGGCATTTGGGAGAGGGTCCAGGATGTGTGTGGGCATGAAGTGAGTTTTGGCAGAATCCTCCGCTCCGCAGAACGGGATGACGAAGCTGACGTGAGATCTCTCATTCCACAGCTTTGCCCTTGCGGAGCTCTACCAATGTATTGCTTACCTCTTTCGCAATATGGACCTCGAATTGTACGAAACTTTGCGGGAGAGAGATATTGACATTGTTCGGGATTGCTTCATTGGCGAAGTATCACCGTCCAGTGTGGGGGTGCGGGTGACACTTGCAACGCCCAGCCACACCGCAGCGCCTGAGACAGGATCTACTTGAAGGTGAAATGATGTGCAGATGTTGCATTGTATGTATGTAAAATGTAGTACAGTTGGGGCAGTGCAAATGTTGTGCAGGGTTTCTTTTCCACAACTCCTATAACTTCAGTCAGCAAGTAATGGAGGAGACAGGAAAAGACACGATCATCCTCTACCCACACAGTCGGGTCTATGACCTTAGAGCACCGCCTTCACTCTGTAGTGATAATCTCTCTATCTGCCTGAATATGGGGTCCGAGACAGAACTGATATAAAGATAGAACATACTCCATGCAAGTAAGTCAATAGAATCTCATCATCCAGGATACATCGGCATCACCTACACCTGTGACTACCAACATGAAAAGCCCTTGTCCTTGGCTGCCCCCGGCTGCCTTCGTTCTGTCCCACGCGACTATCACCTCATGCGAGTCAATTACTGCATCTGGACTCCTCGGTTCCCACTTCGGCATACCTGGCCTCAATGCAACCTATGACTATGTTGTAATTGGCGGGGGAACAGCAGGTCTCGCGGTGGCCCGCAGACTGGCTGAGACTCCTTCCGTCAGCGTGGCAGTCATTGAAGCCGGTGACTTCCCTCAGTTCAGCAATGGGAATTATTCTGAGGTCCCGGCCTACGCTTCAGAGTTTACGGGCAGTGATCCGACGCTGAAGAATCCTGCATTGGATTGGTACATGTATACCACGCCGCAAGAGGTATGTTCGAGAACATGTACTATTTTTAGTTTCCATCTGTGTAAGTAATGGGTGAAAGATGTGCTAAGAAATGTGCAGCAACTAAATTGGCGGAAGGCATTGTTCGACTCGGGTAAGATCATTAGTGGGAGTAGTGGACGCAACTTCCTGTGGCAGGTTCGGTGGGTATCCAGTTTTATTATGCTCTCATATGGTATTCGGTTCTACATTGAGCTAACAAATGACTGTGTCGCTGACATCAGAGGAACCCATGGTTGCTTCGATCGCTGGGCACAAGAGGTCGATGATCCAAGCTACCAATATGAGTCTTTCCTGCCTTACTTCCAACGTTATGCTCACTTCCACCTGCCTAATGCCACGAATGTGACATACAACCTGTCAGACTGGAGCCCTCATGGGGGCCCGGTGCAAGTGGGATACCCCTCATGGGCAAATCTGATATCAGCCTGGCTTGGACGGGGATTTACCGAAATGGGCATGCAAGCACTGCCATCTCTGCTGAGTGGGAATCTGATGGGCTGGTCGTGGCTGTCGCAGACATTAGACCCAGTAACGCAGACCCGAAGCTCTTCTTTGGCCTTCCTTGAGGAAGCATTGGCTGAGGCGAGCAACCTGGTGCTCTACAAGTCTACCTTGGCCAAGAAGATTACGTTCCGGGATGAGCAGGCCACTGGCGTGCTGGTTGACACAGCGGGGCAGATGTACCACATTGCGGCTAGGGGAGAAGTGGTGCTATCAGCTGGTGTGGTAGGTAGCATAAATCCATACCATTCAGTATCTGACATGCATATATTGACGTTGGTATTCTGTCTCACTAGATGAGATCACCTCAGCTCCTGATGGTTTCCGGGATTGGACCCCAAGAGACCCTGCAGGCTCATGGGATCCCAGTAATTGCAGATCGGCCAGGTGTTGGTCAGAATATGGCGGTAAGAAGAACCAATTGCTCATAAGTTTCTGAAAGAAGTCGCGCTCACGAATATGCTGACACCCCCCCCCTTGCAGGACAATGTTTTAGTCGGACCAACCTACCAGGTCCGAGTGACCACGCACAACAGCCTCGCAGACCCAGCCTATCTGGCTGCCTCAGTCGAAGAATACAATGTCAATCGCACAGGAATGCTCACGAATGTTGGAGGTGATGTTGCAGGTGCGCGAGCCACTCACCCTCCAGCAAGCAGTGTAACATGACTCACTCTCCATTAGCCTTCGAGAAAATCCCACCATCCATGCTTCATCCCGAAACATCCCAAGCGCTAAACGACTCCTTCCCCTCAGACTGGCCCCATATTGAATATCTCGTGCTAGACGAATACTTCGCCACCGGCGCTGACAGCAGCCGGGGGGTATCCAACATGAAACAATACGTCGCAGCATCTGTGGGGCTCGTGGCCACCTTCTCCCGCGGGAATGTCACAATAGCCTCATCCGATGCAGCCACCAACCCAATCATCAGCCCCAACTGGCTCCTTGATCCGCGCGATCAAGACGTTGCGTTGGCTGCATTTACCCGTGCCCGACAACTGTTCAACACGAGTGCCATGCAGCCTGTTGTCGTCTCAGAGGCTTTCCCCGGTGCTACTTATACCACCCGGGCGGATTTGCTGCGGATTATTCGAGAGAGTGCCAATTCAGTGTATAATGCGGTTGGAACTAACCGTATGGGGAGGGCTACTGATCGTGAGGCTGTAGTTGATAGTCGGTGTCGCGTTATTGGCGTCGAGAACTTGCGTGTTGTCGATGCTTCGGCGTTTCCTTTTTTGCCGCCTGGCCAACCTTCGGCTACGGTTTGTGAGTGATCCTTTTTTTCCCTCCAATCTATCAGTGACTGGAGACTGAGTTATGAGGCTGACTGTTGTGTTTGTAGATGCGCTGGCGGAGAAGATTGCTGCGGATATGCGCGAGTCGGAATAATCTTGTCGGGGATTGTCTCAAGGGGATTGTCTCAAGGGGATGCAAGGGTGTGACAAGGGGCTTAGTGGCATGCTAGGATTCTGTAGAATCTCATCCGTGTTAGAGAAATCAGCCGTATCTTACTTTGTAGTGCTGCAAATAAGCGAGTGTTACGTAGTCATAGATGAAATCCTGTTCCTGGTGAGGGTGATAGTCCCCCTCGGCGAGGCTACGATGTATGCATGGAGATATGCACATCACCACGTAGAAGTCAGCCTACCACTGAACTTGGAAGGAGTTAACCTCAAAGATCCTCTAGATGACATGCTGGTTAATTAGTGCTTAGAGATCGAACTAAAATCTGACAGCCAGCCAAGAAAAGAGGGGGAGGGGTGATAACCGCCGATCATCGGGGTTTGTTGCATTCCGGATATTGTCTCATTGCCCCCTCATGCTCCCAACAAACTATCTGGAACACCATCCACCTATGACTATGTCACAATGCCAAACGATCTGACCTTTGACCCTCTCCAACGTAAGCTATATCAAACAGACGCCACAGCCGCCTTATCCACCACCGCCGCAATCTTCTCCACCAACATATCCGGCTGGCTCAGCATCGGAGAATGTCCCGCAGTACAGCGATCAATCTCCGCGCGAGCTAACTGGGCAAACCTCTCCTGGAAGGCAGCAGGTGCTGCCTGATCCCCCACGCAGATGAGATAAGTAGAGGGAATATACTCATATGCGGCACGAGTTGTGGGCGTAGTCTGCACCAAGTAAGACTGCGGAATGAGGCGTGATTCCCAGAGGGCTGCTTCAGCGTCCGGGAGATCGCTGTATAGAGTTTTAGCCCCGTCCTTGATGCGGAAGCACCCGTCCGACTAACAGAAAAGAAATTAGTTCAGTCCGTGAGTTTACTTTAGTTGTATGGGTTGAAAAACATACAGTCACATAATTGTTTGGCGACTCGCCGAATGTCCCGATGACGGATGCCCCCTCAGATAGAAGAAAGGCTGCATAGTAGAATAGACATAAAACACCGCCCTTCTTTCCCTCTGCATGACGGGAAGTATAGGCCAGAGACTGGGGAATAGCAGTACTACCCACTATGCCTCCGTAGGAATGCATTACGACGACGACGGACTTTTCCTCTTTCTCGATTAGCTGCTCCAGGATTTCGGTGATAGTGCGTGCGTCGTCCTCCATCGTGCGAGAGGAAAAGTCATCGGCCTCGACATCGGTGCAGCTGGGGAGTGATGGATGGATGACGGAGTAGCCTAGGTTGCGAAGACCCGTTGCTAATTTGGCGTAGACGAGGGGAGTCTGGAAAGACCCCTGGACGATTACGATGGAGGGCTTTTCGGTGGCCATTGTGTTTGAGTATTAACCCTGCTGTATGAAATAGATGTATGGGTTGAGAGTGAGTTTTGCTGAAAGTGAAAACAAAAAGAAAGTTGGGTAGTACTTTGGGATGCGGCAGAGATATAGCCGCGCCCGAGCACTAACACATGAGCGGATATCATGTCAGCCTTATTTTAATTCAAATCATCCTGGGCTGATCATCCCTGCTGACTTTGTTATTTTTGGCCCCATCATTCCCAGCCCTTGTCTTTCTAACATCTCACTACACCACTCAGCAAGATGTTACATACTAGACGGGGTCTGCCGATGAGATGGAAATGCAGTGATAGTATCCATCAAATCTCACGTAAACGACGCACAATGTGCACACTGGTAAGCTGGCAAGGCAGACATACATTTTTGCATTAAAGCGTAAGATATAATGATCGCATGCATCTTCCGCTCTCAAATGAATGGAAGCAGCAGTAAAATCAGAACAATAGTGCTTCGACAAACTGCAAGGATGGGTATCGTCGCGTCATTGATCGCTTGCTTCGCACAACAGAATCCCCGACAACATCTGCTACGCCAGCTACGTCGATGTACTTTTACCATTCCAGACCTGCAGAAGGTATTCGAACATTGGCCTCAGGCGACCAGTCCTGATGTTGGCCGTCTAGAGAAAGATGTGGAGGCCAGGATAGAGCAGTAAGTGCGGCATCGCAGGAGCTCTCATGATCAAAATCGGTCGTCTAACACGTAGACCTCCTGCTTCGGCAGTTTCTTCCCCGATGGAAAGATTGCCCGCAAGATGAGAGATGCAAAGGTCGCCGAATTTGGAGCCAGCTGGTGGCCCTATGCATCTCGGGACCGTTTGTGCATTGCTACATATCTGTCCCTCTGGGTATGACCCTCTTCTTCACATTTATCCTGGCTATATTCGATCATCATACTCACTACTGACGTGCATAACTTCAGCTCTTTGCCTGGGATGATGGTAAGTACTTGCCCCATGTTCTATTCATGGATAGCTAATAGCATGGCATGGCAATGTAATAGAGACCGACTCGACTGAAATCTCGGACCTGGTTCATCACGAGCAGCGCGCATCTACATTCCGTGAAGAAACGAAGTCCTTCATCCACGCGTCCCTTTCAGACGAATGTGAACTATCCCATCTGGCATCTCTCCCCGGTGCTAGTAATCCATTCATTGCAAATTTCGGGACCATTGGTCGGGCAATTGCAAAATCGTATACACCAGGTATCCCACCGTCTATTGTGGTTGCCGTAACTGGAGCTAAGAAACCTTTAGAGCAACGCAGACTCTTCCAGGGCGAATTGGACTACTTTCTGGAGATGACGCATCTTGAGCAGCTTGTTCAGTCGAGCAACGAGCTTCCCACAGTTGAAGCCTACTCGCGCCGGCGAATGGGGTCAGGGGCCGTCGGTGTATGTCTAGCTATTACCGCGTGAGTGTCTTATCCAGCAGTCACTGCTGCTTGGGCTAATAGGTTTCAAAGCTACGCCTATAAGATGGATATTCCACCTATTCTGATGAATGCGAAAGAAATCCAGAAGCTTTGGGACCTAACTAACGTTATCATCTGCACGTGAGTGCCTTTTGCCCTTCCCATGCCTGTCACATCTAGTATTGACAAGAGTGTCAGAACAAATGATATAATGTCCTTAGGAAAAGAGATCGTAAGTTCCTCCTATTAACCCAGCTACTATACCCCTTCTGTGGGGGAAAGGATATCACAGATATCCGTACTAAGCATGGACAGGAACACGACCAAACCGACTCCCTCATCCCACTACTCTACGCCGAACGCGGTGGCCCTCTTCAGGATGCCGTCGACACAGCTGTCCACACTGTGCGCGAGTCGGTCGCTGAGTTCGATCGAGTCGCTGATACCTTCCTCATCGATAAACAGGATGACCCTCAGCTTCTTAACTTGAGCAACTTTATTGATGGCTGCAAGTTTGCTTGCACTGCAAACCTGAACTGGGGGTATGTACGCTTACTTCTTTCGCTTCCCATTCGCCCCTTTTGATTGGGAGAGGCTGGAGAAGGCTGCTTACTGATTGAACGACATGTGGATAGGCTCTCCTCTAACCGATATAAGCTCCCTGCTAGGTCATTGCATGGTGGTCTGCGTGTTACACTTCAATAGGCGACGGGTCCGTTACAGGTGGTTCAAGTAGCTTTTGACCTCCTCAAAGGATATATCTAGTTTGTGATGTACATTAGAGTCTCCGAGTGACACTACGGTTTACTATATAGGTTCAGTGTTACTTAAGAATCTTATAAAAGCACTTCTCTGGGGTTATATAAGTCAGCCGACGATAGAATCAGGCAGTATTATTCAGAGTTAGTAAATGCTGAACCATCAAAAGTTGGCGGAATTATCAAGAAATTCAAGGATCGCTCCTACCCTTGCCATGGTTTGCTTGCGCTTGCGGCATGTTTTGATGTCTTGCGAAGGCTGGGGACCTAGGGGTTGGGCATAGAGGGAGGGTAGGATTGACAGCAGCCCGACGCAGTGGTGCTGGGGCAATATGCTGCATTACCTGTCATGAGGCTAGGGAGACCTATGCTGCCTGTAAGCAGAAATGATGGATGGGAGGTTCTATAGCCAAGTGCAAAGACATCTTGTCAATAGCCGTCCGTTGATGGGATCTCAAGGGCGTGATGTTGTTCTCAGGCCTTGATCATCCCATATACAATGTACAGTGAATACAAAGCTTATAAGGCTGCACACGCATTGAGCATAGATGAGCGCACCTGTCTATTTGTCGTGAAAACACCCAACAGCCAGGCGTCTCCTGGTCACGTGGGCGATAGGAAAGTGCACGTGCCTTTAAATATATGGATTCTGCCTTGCGAAAGTGTTACTAAAGGCACCCGTGAATCTTGTGTCACCTATTTATGCATTATCATGTCCTTTCATGACCCAATTATGCATCTACTCCGATTGACCCCGGTAATTTTGTTAGTACAGTGGGAAGGTGCAGGGATCTGAATCCTTTGTTTTCTGCTGTTCATATGATTATTAATACTTTATATGGCCATTCAGCGTCGCTATTCAAGGCTTCACCATGGCAATTTAAGAAGGCGGTGCCGTATGAGAGACTTACCGCTTCAAGGATTTAAATCCCTGCAACTCTCCACCGTACTAACAATCACCGGGGTCAACTGGAGTAGTTCTAGTGATGAATTTTTCCTTACAAGGCAGTTCTCGCGCTCACACGTGCAAGGCATGGTATATTCCTAACATATCATTCAATGAATATGAGGCCTTTTAGTCACTGTATCTGTTGACAAATAGGGTGTTAAGATTAGCTTGCTCAAAGAAAATTATGCAGGACTCACCCGTTATAATGGCGTTCTTCGACGCCAGGTCCCAAATTTTGTTTGTCATCTGTCAAATACGCACAACCTTTGACACTCGCTGTGAGATACCTGCAGCTCTTTCTAAAGACCAGCATATAAGAAAAGTCTCTAAGCTAACCAGGGTACAGAGAAAACGTTCAGCATGACCTGCCTATATCTCAGGTGCTGACCCAGGCGACTGAGCATCCTAACAGTATTTCGATCGCACCCCCCAATACGACAAGAGGCAACTTCTCACCAAAAGCCTCGAGAGAGATCAAGTGATAGTAAACATGATGTTCTTTTACTGTAATATCATCTTTATATAAGTATCATAATTAAGGAATTGGATCAGCCCTCAAACTAGCTTAGTCCTGATTATACCACAGTTTGGTTGTTCTTAGTTCTTTTTGGCTGTCTTATTTCTTATACGTTTATCTTATTTCTTTAGTTTATTACTGAATATTTTATCTACTGTAATTATTAACACATTTTTTCCTTCTTTTTTTACATACTCTCAGTTCTTTCTGCTCTTATCTTTTGTAAGGTTTTTTATTATGATAGTATCATATTAATTTTAATTAATCTAAAAATTGATAAACTAATAAATTTCCTGTCTCCCACTCATTCATATAACAAAGGCTATTTAAATCAAGAAGTAGATACTTGAGCCAAAAAGTCAAGTTAAGATATAAACTGAGATTGACCTTTTTAAATATAGAGTAAGCTAGTATATCTATAAAATTCTGATATTATCTGTAATAATGACAGAATGATTTCTATATCTGATTATAGATATGAGTTGATTAAAGATCTATATAAGTAAAATAGAGATTTGGAGATATTATATCAATAATAATCTAGTCTTTAATAATACAGAGTATTCTATTCTTTTATTTTTTTTACTTTACTGTAAAGCTTTAAACTTATTATATTTATCTTTTTACTTATGTTAATTGTATTCATAGAATCTATCTACTTATTATTATAGATACTAAAGAGTGCTTTTATTAATAAATAATGGAGAGAGGGGTAGCAGAGGAAATAGTTAATAAAAAGATAAATCTTAACAGACCTGTTAATTAAATATTCCAGCCCCTTTTATTTCCCTGCCTCCTATCTACTTTTTAAATTTAACTCTAATTATTAAAAACTTAACTAGACTATATATGACGTGTGGAAACCGATAAACAGATTATTTAAGACTGAAGCTACTGCTAAATAGATTTATTTTAGATTAAGAAGCGAGAATTCTAAGGGATTTATGAGAGTTATTAGAGAAGAAAAGAGATATATAATTAATAAAATAAGCAGATTTTTTATACTTCCTGATCATAGTTATAAAGTCTTAGACTGTGAGATTATATTTACTCAAGCTTGAGACTTATTATTCAAAAATCATGAATTATCTGTATTAATAATTTATGATTTACTTTAATATTGCAGGACCTGTCTTTATACTTATTAATAAGGATAATAATAATTGGATAATCTGTAGTGTTGCCTTTCTATAACTTCTTTTTAATCTATTCTTAGCTAGAGATAATCCTCTCTATCATCTTTTCAAGAAAAGATGGAATATTATCACGCCTTATAAATAAATATATAAACTAAATTTCTATACTAGTTTAATTTAATATAATATATAAATTATATCTTTACTTATATCTTGGTTTTATGCGTGAAAAAAGAGATTTTATAAAGATAAGATAACAATGATTTTTAACAAAACCTTGTTCTGCTATAATGGTTTCTAGGAAACTCTTTATTTCAGGATTAAGTATAAAGTAGAATTCTTTATAATTTAAATATATCAGTTACTCCAGTACTTGGTCGAATTTTTTTTGGACATACTGAGTTAAAGTAATAGACAAAATTATAGTTAGAAAAAGATGTTTATTAGTATCCTGAATGATTTAATAAGCTGTTTAGATATATAATCTTTGCTATTTCATAATTAATGTTTTATAATTATTAGAGATTTCTTTAATCTAAGAAAATATAAGATAACAGTCTTCTTTTAATATTTTATGATTTTCTATATTTAGCTTGTGGCTTTTCAGGCTGATAAGCTTGTTTCTGATAATCTCTAGCTCTATGACTTTCATAAGCTAAGATTAGCTGATCATGGACAGATTGCCACGGAATGGATTCGAGTGAAATATAGGGGAATATAGGGAAATATAGGGAAATGTAATAAAATGTAATGAATGTTGGCACTTAGAGAGGTTTATCTTTGTCTGGGTAGGATAGCTATTCTTTTATTAAAGATAGAGCCTGTATAAAATTCCATTTTATTATATTATATTATATTATATTATATTTTATTTAATAAAGAATTATAAAGTTAGTATATGTCTGAGTGCAAAGCCACAGAGATATGTTAAGTCTAAAATAGATCAGATAAAGTTAAACAGTAGGCTTTATTAATTACTTTTAGGAGCTCTGCAATCTGCCCGGCATATACTATATTTATAAACTATAATATCTTTTCTAACTTATTAATATTATTATATAAATCATATTATATTATTATCTTTTAAATGGTTGTGGGGCTTCCGTGTATCTAGTAAAGCCAATAATACTAGTTAGTTATATAATCATGCTAAATATAGTAAAGATTTAATAATATTTATAGAAATAGGATAAAGTATGAAGATTATATTAGATTTAACCTAATTTAGAATGAAAAGATTATTTACTTATAATATAATATCTTATTTAGGTTTTATATTATTATTATTATTTTTAGCCAATAATAGATAAAAGCAGTTATTTTGAATCTATAATAAACACTGAAGTTAAAGTATATCTAAAAAGAAATAAGATATTCAGAGATATCATGCTTTTTAATTTATTAAATATTATTAATAGTATTTCTGCATATAAAGGCTGTATGATTATTCCTGCTTTAAATTATAGCAGCTATAGATAATCAGTAATAAAAGCTTTTAATAATCCTGTTATATATATTAACACAGTAAGAGGATCTATATAGATCAGTATTAGCTCGTTCTAGCACAGATATCCAGACAAAAGCCATGTATCTGAAAACAAAACTGTACATGTTTTGGTATACTTTCTGCCTACTGATTTATCTGATTTTTTAATAAGCCATCTATTACTGATTACCCTGCCATGATATGTATCAATGAACTAGAAAGTGGAGAATAACTGAAAGTAATTAGGTGAGGGGAATTCCCGAGCTCCCCAGGAATCTAGGTTTCAGCTCTGGCTGGGCCTTACTTGATTCTGGATTTTTTTTTTTTCAGATATTTACCTGCCTACTACTTTCACCATTATAGGTTATCATTCCAAGCGCCAGAAGAGACGTGATTATTAATGCAGGTTCTCACTGAGTAGCAAGGGACATAAAGAGATAATTAAACTCTCTCTAACGGAACATCTCTTTAGGGTTTATTCATAACATTCCAAGTTCTCTCAGTGTGAAACTGCTCAACCCATATATTTCTATCTATCTTGACTTTGAAAATCATGACTGGTGCTAGAGAGGGCATTAATTTTGTTCAGATCTTCTTCTACAGTGGAAATACTATCAGTGCTAAATATAAAAAAAATTTAGTAGCCCTAGTCTATACAACAGCACGGGATTAACTACTAGTATTTAAAATAATCTTAATCTAGTAAGTCCTAGGCACTTAAAGATATATTTTCATGTTTTATCTATCTTTAATATATATATATACTATTAATTCTTTATATAGATCTATACTCTGATAAAATTTTATATTAACAAGTTATTAATAAGTTCTGACATGTATAATACCACTATTAATAATAAAAGATATATTATAGATTCTTAAGACTGGCATAGGATCTTTATCTTCAAGATTAGTAATCAGCTTTTATATAAATATTATATTATATCACATGGTTATATTAATAATAAAGAGAACTTTGTTCTTAAGAAAACTACTTATATTTCAGAGAAGGCGGACAGTACTTATCATAGTAGACCATGGTCTGACAAAGTTATTTAATTATCTAAGAAATTCTTTAAAGAATATAAAGATAGTCTGATTAATTATTTATATTTATTAACTTAAAGTTAGCTGTTACAGAGTAACCTATGTTGAAATCTCAGGGCTTTCTGATATTAAGAATAAATTTATTATAATCTAAATATTATAGAAAAAATAGTATTTTATGTTTTAGAAACTTTATATCAATATTTAAGTATTTTTAAGTTTATAATAGTCTTACAGAAGAAGATTATAATAATTATATTAAGCTAGTATTCTTAAACTATTACTCTTATTGCTCCATATCTAGATATTAACATCTTATTTAATACAGTGATTATATAGTTTTTAAAATATAGCTTTATATATATAATATTCATCTTATCTATATATTTCTTAGTATGGCAGTCTATATCTATATTTTAATCTACTTCTAAAATTTGCTATTTTTACCTGCTGTCTTTAAACCCTGTTTAAATATAGAATTATATAGAAATATTTTGATATAATTATTATTATATAATTTTTGAGGTTTTATCTCTACTTATAATCTAGTAATACTTATTTTACTATCTACTCTGATTTTAACATCTTTTCAGTAGTCAGCTGCTCTTCTAGCTGAAATAACAGTATTCAGTACATTAAATCTAGAAACATAGCTTTCTTGTTTTTATTAAACTTATCTCCTATTTTCTATCTTTATTTCTGTATGCTGACCTTAAATAACTCCTGAAGTAGAGACTATCTATTTCTGTAATAAGATTCTGTTAAGTACTTCTACTTATTAAAAAACTAAGATTATTCTTTCTATCATTATCACTACTTCAAAGAAATATATTTAAATATATTAATTTATTAAGACACTATTTTATCCTCATACACGTAATCAGTGTTAAAAATAGCTTTTATTTTAGTAATCTTTCAGATTGCTATAATCAGGTTCCAGATATTAGAAAGATATGTTAGAAGGACATACAATTTGAATTTAGTTTCTGAAGCTTGAAATGCGGGTGGCGTATGGCAGTCTTTTCTAAGACAGACTTTTAAAATAAGTAAAAATACTTTACTGAAGTTACTTAGAAGCAGACATATATTAGATAATAAGAACTTCTTTACATATTTTTCTAGGAATAGCAGTATAACTGTCTTAACTAGGATATTAGAGAATAATAGTTTTCTGTTATATTATATGATAGAGATTATTTAAGACTTATTATACTTTTTATATAATTACTTTATAAATAAGTTATTAAAGCTTGACAGGAGTTTAACCAAAACATTTTCTAGATAAATATCTAAATTAACTATTTTTAAATATTAGCTTACTGGTATAAAACCTAGATAAGATTATGATTATATAATAAATCTCTATAAATATAATTTTAAGAATATATATAAGTAACAGTCTGTATAAGCTTATATAATAATATCTGGGTAACTAAGAAAAAAAAGATAGTTGAAAAGATTTTTCTAAGATTGCATTGTGTAGGGGTCACCGTGTAGTATATATAGTTTTTATTAGAATCTTATACTTTAAATTTATCTAGAAAAAGAGATATTAAATTATATCTAAGGCACATGGGCGAGAATAACAGAAAAGAAGAAGACAGAGCTTTAAAAACTTTTATCTCACGCGGAAGTGAGTCTACTATATTAACTTTAATTATAACATATTATTTCAGACTTGTATTTAAAGCAAGCTAAATCATTAAATAGCCTCTAAAGCCAAGTTTATTAATAATATAATATCTGTTATTTAATATATCTCTAATCATGATAAGATAATAATTCTTATACTAATATTTTTTAAGTATTTTTATATTCTTGATCTAGTTATACTTAATATAATAATCCTCAGTCATTATAAAGTACAGCCATATAAAATATCCTGGTTTAAGCTGTCAAGAGCAGAACAAGGATTGGAATATTATAATTAAAGGTTAACATAAGAGTAGTAGTATATAAAATAATCTACAGTTTATAAATATTATAGAATAGTAAATCATAATATATTAGGTTAATTACTTAAAGATATTGCTAGAAGCATTCTGAGAACATGAACACAAGCTACAGCAAAGTTCCATGTTAGAGCATGACCATGTCACTATAGTTTATTTAGCCTTCTTGATTAGTCATCTTCATGCTAGAAGCTAGAGCTGACCAGGCTTGTTAAATTAATAAGCATCCATCGCTTCATATTTTGATAATCTAAAGACGATTCCTAATCTGGACTGAATACTGGAAACAGTAAAGCTTAAAATAAAATATATTTTAATATAATATAATATTTGATTAGACTTCTATAAGATATAAGAAAATGAAGTTAGGTTATAAAGTAATTTTAATATTTCTAATTAATAAATCTAAATATACTGGGGGTAGATACAGTCTGGTATATCTATATTATCTGATTAGGTTATAATTAGTTAAAGAAATATTGAACATATTAATTTTAACAGCTAAATAAGTTATTACTGGCTAGGGGTTTATAACTCCATCTCTTTACCTAAGTTTTATCAGGCACTTTATTGACCATGTTACAATCTTCAGGTTTCTTATTTAACATGATTTAAGAAAGTTTAAATCTCTTTCAACGAATCACTGACTATGATTTTTTTTGATCTGATCTAGTATAAACTTTTTATTTACTAATCCCTGTAGTAGATAGTCTACTATCAAGATTCTTAGTATTAGCTAAAAGGAAGTAATGATAATACTGTATAATAATAAGATTATTAATAAGCAGTAAAAGATTTAATATAAGATAATTAAGATTATCTCTTATTATCATTATATAAATAGCTTTTATTAAATAGAGCGTGTAAGTAGCATATACTGTATAATTAAATTAATTATATATCCTACTTGCCTGTGGGCTATATGTCAAACCCTAGGATCGCTTCTCCCTGTTCCTGTTAGCTTAGCTTCCGTTCCAATACGTACCTTCGAACTGAATCGAGGTAAGTCAGGCTGATGACTATCTAAGAGGTGACTGGTCCTGAACAGAAGAAGAGAAGTAAGGCCAGATAGTGCTGCGCAGCTATCCGTAAGTAAGTATAGATAAGTATTATTACTAAGCTTTACCAAAACATATGGTTACTTAAAGACAGTGTTATTGAGCATGAAGAACAGAACTAACTAAATATATGAAAGAATATCCTTATATCCTATCCTTCAGTATGGCGCTGCCATGCCATATTATGTTGCTGATATTTTATAGTGTGTCGGTGACATCCCCGGTGTAGCACTAACATCCTATAATATGTTAGTAATATCTTTATTATAGTCACGTGCCGTGTGACTGTTTCCGTTCATCAGTTACTTGTATCAAGACTTTACTTAATAAAAGTCCTTGTTCTTTTCCGGGTGTGGCCTTCTGCCTGATATATCTGCCTTACTAGTTCATTCAGCTAGCAGGGGTCTGTAATACTACTCTCCCTCCTTTAAGATTTCTTGTTCTCAAGGAATATAAAGCTGCAGTGCTTCCCTCTCAAGGTGAGTGCTTGATATTGTTTTTCCAAATTCAGTCAGGTTATTAATTATGTTATCTAGTTTTTCTATTTATAAGAAGAGTCTCTATTAGTGAATTAAGAATAAGGGTTTCTTAACGATTTTTCCTTGCGAGCATTGTATCTGTCTTTACAAAGTATATATCAAATCTGAAAACTCTGATCACTATAATAAGTATGTTAGGAAAAACAGTGTTTATTATAAAATGTCTGATCTTTTCTTCTCTAATACTGAGTAGAAGCATTTAGTCAGGACTTAAAATTTCATTGAAGAGGAGGAAGAAGTTATTTTAACAAAACTTCTTTAATTGTAAAAATAAAAACGGTTATTATAAAAGCGAGCTGGCGATTTCATAGCTCATGATATAAAGAAAATCAAGAAGCTAGAGAAGCTTAAGAAGTAAGAGTAAAGAGAGTATAAAATACAAGAAAAGCTACATGATTAAAAGACTGCAGTATCTAAAACTGAGGCTAATACTGTTACAAATAGTGTTAAGCTAGCTGCTATATCTGAGCTTGATCTTAGTTTATCCTAACTGGTTAGTTCTCCTTTCTTCTAGGCAAATTTTGACTTGCCTGCTAGTAGTATTGTTTTACAAGCTGATGACAGCCTATCAAATTCTTGATAGATTCCCACGTGTTCTCTGAAATATTATATTCTTCTTATTTTATTAGATACTGTGATTTACTGCTAATCTTTCTATAATCTAAGATCTTTTTAACTTTATATTCTTATTTTATGTTATTGTTAATCTCTACATTTTCTGTGATTCTAGCGTTCTTTAATACAGGTTTTAATAATAAGATATAAAACACTGGATATATTCTATTCATTAATTTTGGCAATCTTAACTTATAGTTAACCAGTCTTTTCTTGTCTTTGATAATAAATGGTCCTAGCTTGTAATAGTCAAGCTTCTGACTTGGTTATTTTATCTTAATATTTCTGCGGAGTAGGAACACTTTCTTTTCTCTTTTTAGATTAGGTTTTTTTCTGTAATTATAATTGTAGTATATCTTATTATACAAGTTTATAAACTTAATATTTTAGAATAACTGTAAATACATGTTTTCTGTAAATATAACAATATCTTTAACTATATTAATAACTTACTACTTTTCTAATAGTGTTTTCAGAAACCTGGAGTAATAACTGTAATTAGTGTAAAACGGTAAGACTCTAATAATTAAATAATTAGTATTATTATATAAGAATTATATTATTAATAATAGATTTATTTAATTATTTTACTGGTAGTTCACGTAATGTCTTAAATATTATTTAATTATCTGGTTAATTTTTTTTATTTGCTTATTTATCTGCAGGTGGTAAGCTGTTATTATTTATTCTTTAATTTCTATAAGATCTATAAGTAATCTTTAGAACTTTAAAGTAAATAACTTGTCTTGATCTAATATGATGTACTTTGATATTTTATAATATGTGACAATATATTTAAGAAATAGTTCTACTATCTGTATTACTAATATTATTATCTTATTTAATATTAGATAAATGTATTTAGTGAGATGATTAATAATGACTGTGATTATATTAAATCTCTCTAATTCAGATAGTGGACTAATAAAGTTAATTATTATTTATTTTTATAACTGCTGTAACGCCTCCTGTACTTATATTTATTTATAAGATTAATATCTTATAGGCTTATTTCTAATATAAGTCTCATATTGTTTAATATAATCATATATTTTCTGTCTAAGATTTGGAATATAGTAATTCCTTATGATTAGTTCAATTATCTTTTCCACTCTTAAGTAATCTTTGAGTAGTTTGTCATAGTGTTTAGCCATAATCTCTATTCTTATTGTGGTTAGTATAAAGATTAATCCATGAAAATAGGCTAGTCTATTTTTATTGATAGTGATCTTGTCTGGTAAGTCTTTACTTATTTTCTAGAGTATTTTATTATTTTTTATACTGTTAACTAATTATCTGGTTAGGTTATTATCTATCTTTAATATTACTGCTAGATTAGTCTTGTTATAGCTGATCAATCTATCTGTATTCTGTTTCAGGATGGCTAGTTTGATAGTCTTTCTATTTAATTTATAGTCTGGCCTGTGGCTTAGCATGTCTGTGTGTTTATTCTCTGCTTCTTTACAGTATATAATTCTGAAGTTATATTATGATAGAATCTTAGTCTATCATGCCTGCCTTCTGGTCAACTTTTTGGTTGTTATAAAATAGGTCAAGTTCTTATGGTCTATCTTTATAATAACAGTGTATTTTACTCCTTTAAGATAGACCCTCCACTGTTTAAATATTATTACTATAGCTAGTAATTCCTTGTTATAAATATTGTAGTTGAGTTCTGCTTAAACCAACTTCTTTAAGTGAAATATAATCAGTCTCAGCCTTCTGTCTTCTCCCGATTGCATTATACGCATACTAACAGCGTAGTCTGATATATTGATCTTGATAATGGTTTCTTTTTCTAGGTTGTGCTGTATAAGTATTAATAATGTGATAAATCACTGCTTGATATTTTTAAATATGCTCTGCTGTGGTTCTTTTTACTGATACTTCTTTAACTTCTTTATAAGCTTAAAGAGTGGTATTATATAGATAGCATATCCGTCCATGAATTATTAATAGTAGTTAACTAATCTGATAAACTGCTGTAGTTCTTTCAGATTCCTAGATTAAGACTAATCCTGTATAACTTGTACTTTAGCTTACTCAGTATAGATTCTCTCTATGGATATCCAATGTCCCAGGAACTCTGTTTTCTATATATAAAATTCATACTTTTTTAACTTATATTATAACTAATATAAATATAGTTTATATAAAACTAGTCTTACATGTCTCATGTATTCTTTCTTAGTCTTTAAGAAGATTAATATATTATTTAGATAAATGATTATAAAGCTATCAAGATATTTTTTAAGAACCTTATTAATATATTGCTGAAATGACGCTAATGCGTTAATAAGTCTGAATAATATAATTAAATACTTAAAGTATCTGTACTTTGTTCTGAATATGGTTTTTCATTCTTTATCTTCTGTAATGTGTATATGATAATATATATTTATAATATTAAGTTTAGTAAACTACTTCATTCCTTATATCTTATCTTGGATTTCCGAAATCAAAGATAATAGATATTAATCCTTAATCGTGATAATATTTAGTGGCTGATAATCCATATATAGCTGTAAACTACTGTCCTTTTTTAATATAAATAGGACTCCATGTTCTGCTGGTGATTTTGAAGGCCTGATATTATCTTTAACCAGCTAATTATTAATATATTCTTATAGTACCTGCGATTCTTTCTTAGACATTAGATAAATCTTTTTATATACTGGTAACTTGTTACGGACCCCTGCTAGCTGAACGAACTAGTAAGGCGGACTCATTAGGCAGAAGGCCACGTCCGGAAAAGCAAGGACTCTTATCGAGTAGAATCCCGATCTGAGTGACCTACAACCAGGACGGTTACACAGCACGTGACCACGACAGACATGTCACCGACACGCTATAACATGGCAGCGCTACGACAGGACATGGCAGCGCTACAACAGGACATGGCAGCGCTATAACAGGACATGGCAGTGCTATAACAGGATATATCGGCAACATGACATATCATGGCGACGCCATGACAAAGGATAGAATATAAGGACACTCTTTTATGTACTTAGCTAGTTCTGTTCTTCGTGCTCAATCTAATTGTCTTTAAGTAACCATATGTTTTGATAAAGCTTAGTAATAATACTTGTCTGTACTTACTTACAGATAGCTGCGCGGCACTATCTGGCCTTACTTCTCTTTTCTTATTCAAGATCAAATCACTTTTAGATAGTTATTAACCTGACTATCTTTGATTCAGTTCACAAGATATGTATCGGAACGGGAGCTAAGCTAACAGGAACAGGGAGAAGCGATCCTAGGGTTTGATACATTGAGCATCAGTCAGTATGAATATTACTTAGTGATAATTAGTCATTATGTTAATTATATCGAACACATCGCGAGCGCCTCAGCAGTAGGGCCTGATGACCAAGGAACTGATAAACATGGTTAGTCAGTTATAAGAAAGCATCACTGTCTTAGAATAATAGAACCAGTTACTCAAAGATTGCTTATCAGTTAAATCTGTTAAGGTCTGACCATCTGAGCTATTTGACAGTAAACGAGCGAGGCTCAGAGCTTTCTTAACCTAGTTAGATCTGTATCTTAATATAAACAAGAAAAAGCTTAAGAATAAGAAGAACAAGATCTTTTTTATGTCTACTTATCTTACCGGAGCAGTATTTAATTAGTTCAAACCATATATCCACGAGTGATAAGAAAAGTTAGTAAGTAATCAGGATAATGATATAAAATGACTTTTTACTAGTTATACTAGATTTAAACAGTGTCTTGAACAGATATTTAGAGATATTAATATAGTATAGAATACTGAGTAAAAGTTATAATAACTTAAGTAGATAGGATCAGTATCTACATATACTTCAGAGTTTCAGTAAGTTGTCAGTTATCTAGATTAAAATAATAATACTTATATCTTACAATTTAAAGAAGGATTCAAGATAAAGATCTAAAAGAAGATCATTTAGTAAGAAAGACCGGACATATTGGCCAAGATGATTGAAGTAGTAGTTAAGATTAATAATAAATTATATAACTTTAATATAAAATAATAAAAAGATCAGTAAATTAGCGGGTCTATACCTTGATATAATAACCAGCCAGATTACCGAGCCAATAACAGAAGGTCGGCACAACCTAGAAGCTTGGGATACGAAGATCTCTATGGGCTGAAACCCATGGAGCTAGATACAGCACAGCATCAGACTTAACAGACTCAAGTGTCTAAGGAGGAACTTGAACAGTATAAACAAGACTGCTTGTACTTTAGCTGCAGCAAAATAGATCACCAGTTAAAGGACTGTAGTCAGAAACAGCAACAGCCTTAAAAGCAATTAAGGACTACAAACCAAGATCAAGGCAGAGGAGTCTATAATATCACTACTATTTAGCACGAAGTTTGGACAGAATCTGCAACACAGATATTAGATAATAAGAAGCTATATATTATTCAGCATGGTTAGCTGTTAGAGAATAGGATGAACCATAATTAGTTAAGATAACAGGCCATCCCGGATAAGTCAACAGTACTATCTAGTTAACAAGAGGATTGATAATTATCTGTACTATTAGTTTGGACCATAAAAGTTAATAATAATAGTTATAAGCCAGTTTCAAGGAATAACTATCCCAGTATAGTTTAGAATAAAGATAAACTGTTAGATAAAGAATATAATACACTGCTTAAAAGTCTTGAATCTAGTAAAGAAAGACTTAATAAGATACCTAATATCCCTGAAAAATCCTTATTAAAAATTAGTAAATTCTGTTTATTACAGCGAGACAAGGATAAGAAGAACCAGAAGAATGATTAAGAAGATATTGCTTATTAGTTAGACCGTATCTTGAAAAAGATCTTGAAGAATCTAGCATGATTCTGCCCAGAGCTTAAGATAATCATGCAGCATTGTCCATATTAGGATTTAAAATGTTGGAAATCATGGAATAAGACTTAAAAACAATATTTATAAAGATACTCTTATTATCTAGAAGTTTGCTTGATATGTGGATAAGATAACATGGACTATTATTACCAATTATTAGAGATTAGCTAAAAGATAAATATTACTAGAACAGAGTCTTAGTGTGATAAACCATGTCTGTATATTTATTTTAAAGAAAGTAGAGATTATTAAAAATATGATAAACTTTCTTGGCTTGTGTACTATATAAATATATACTTAATATATCATGATTAAAAGTATATTATTAATTACTGATCTAAGATACTGGAAGTGGTTAGGATTAAGGCAAGTCACTGTCTATATTCTATCTTTGATTACGCGTGTAAAGGGTACCAGAGACATTCTTACTATAGATTAATATATTAGCTAGCATGTTTTGATAATTAGTATATAATATATTACATAGTAAAGATAGAAGATTTAAGGTTTTTAAGAAGATATCCACAGTAATTAAAACCTAACTAGCCGGAACAGTAGTTAGCAGCCACAGAGTCAGGACTATATCTAAAAATTCAAGCAGTTATATTAAATTAACCAGCCCAAGTACTGATAGATTCTAGAGTAACCAGAAACTTCATGAACCCGTGATTCATGTAATAGCTTAAGATACTTAGATAATAGAAAGAAGAACTTAAACTAATTACAGGACTAAATAAAGAGAATTTGGAAATTCTTATATTAACAGTCAAGTCAGGGACTATATCTATAACTGTAAAGGATCACTATAAGTATATAGACTTTAATATAACATTTTTAAAACAGTATGATATTATATTAAGGATTTTATAACTTAAGAATCATAATTCACAGATTAATTAAAAGACTGAGAGTCTCTAATTCATAAATTATGATTGTCTAAGATAACACCAGCAAGGACCAGGTATAGGGTCTGGATCTGTATAGCCTGTTATTTAATAAGAAGCTAAAGCAAGAATTAAACAATCTAGTAAGGAAAGATTAAGATCGCTATAAAAGTCTAACATGCCAGATATCAGAGGTAACTTAAAGGAAAATAATACTTTAAGTATAGTTATATAAATAATAACAGCAACCAAGCCATCACAGAGAGATTAGCTTATAAAATTATCAGGATAGATATTAATAATAACAAAAAAATATTATAAGTATAGTATCAACAGCTCTAACACAGAGATCAAGATAACTATCCAGAAACTAGAAGATTTATGAAAACTTCTAGCTGCAGTTAAGAGTGATATACAGATTCCATCACAGTATAAGAGATTTAAGGACTTATTCAAGCAGTCAGAGCAACCTGAATTACCTCAGCACGGAAAGCATGACCATACTATTTCTATAAAGAAAAAAAAGTCACTAGTATACAAAAAGATTTATTTAATATCTGAAAAGGAATTGCAGGCATTACAAGAATATATTAATAACCAGCTAACTAAAGATAATATCAGGTCTTTAAAATCACCAGCAGGATATGAAGTCCTATTTATACCAAAAAAGAACAGTAGTTTACAGCTATACGTGGATTATCAGTCACTGAATACTATTATAATCAAGGATTAACATCTGTTGTCTTTGATTTCAGAAATTCAAGACAAGATACAAGGAATAAAGTAGTTTATTAAACTTAATATTATAAATATATATTATCATATATATATTACAGAAGATAAAGAATAGAAAACCGCGTTCAGAACAAAATACAGATACTTTAAGTATTTAATTATACTATTTAGACTTACTAACACACCAGTGTTATTTTAGTGATATATTAATAAAGTTCTTAGAAAACATCTTGATAAGTTTATGATTACTTACTTAAATGATATATTAATCTTCTTAAAGACTAAGAAAGAATATATAAAACATATAAGACTAGTTCTGTATAAACTATACCTATATCAGTTATAATACAAGCTAAAAAAGTATGAATTCCATATACAGAAAACAGAGTTTCTGGAATATTGAATATCTACAGAAGAAATCTATACTAAGCAAGCTAAAGTGCAAGCCATACAGGATTAGCCTTAATCTAGAAATCTGAAAGAACTACAGTAGTTTATCAGATTAGTTAATTACTATCAATAATTTATAGACGGATACG